TGTGTGGACCATTTCCTCTGAAGGGAGAGCCAGGGCTCTGCTGTCAGTGCCCATGATGGCTCTGCTAGCCCAGCCTCGCCCCTTAAGTCTCTTGGAGCGGCTTCTGCTTCCTGCAGACCCAGGCCCAGGACAGTTGGAACCTGTCACCCAGTTCTTGGGCTTCCCATAACTGCCCAGACCCGGGACTTCTCCCCACCTCCATCCCCCAGGCTCCCAGGAGCCAGGCCTGCTTCCCCCAAGGGTGCCAGCTCCTGTGCCGGGCCAGGAGTGGGATAAAAAGCTCATCCTGGGATGAAAGGCTGGCAGGCCCGGGCTGGGCCAATAAACTGCCCCACCCATGCTGGGAGGACCTCTGGGCACTGGTGTAAACTGAGTCATGGGGGGTGAGGAGGTGAGTCATGCAGCCTGTGAGTGGGAGCCAAATGGGGCAGAGCTCATCTGTGTGGGGTCCCTGGCCACACCACATGGAACCACAGCTCTCAGCCCCCCTCCGACACCTAGCAGACCCCTGGCTCAGGGCGGAAGGGAGCAGGGCCAGCAGGGAGCCTGGATTCCGTGTGCGCCTGTGCGTGCGTGCGTGCGTGTGCGTGTGTGTGTGCATGTGTGTGTGGTGTGTTGTGGGGGGCGGGGGCAGACAGGAAAGAGAAGCTCTGACTCGGGAGGAAAGGATTGGGGTTTGGAAAAGAGTCAAAGCCCTGGAGAGATTTTGGGCGGGAATGCTTCGCTGCCCTCTCCTGGCCTTTGAGGGTTTGGCTGTTTTTCTGCAGGAGCCAGCTTTCTCCTTTTGAGTGACTGTCTGTCCTCTAGGGTCCCCAGTGAGCAGAGATGGGACCAGAGTGAGCAAGATCCCCAGACACCAATTCAGACTTCACCCCAGCGAGGCTCTGCCCCCAGGGGCCAGAGCTGCTCAGGGACCAGGAATGGAGCTCCCTGCAACAGAGGTGTGTATAAGCACTCTTGGGAGATGTGGGGGCCGCTGGAGCATTTCTAGCCTTGACTTTGGCCAAGTTATTTAACCCTTTTCTGCCTCAGTTTCCTTGTCAGTAAAAGGAGGGCTGTAAGGACCGAAATGAGTTTGCCTGGCACACAGCACGTCTTGTATGTGTTTGCACGTACTATTTGAGCCTCACAGTTTTCTCATCTATAAAATGGGTGAGAAAGGACGTCTGAGGTGCCCCTCGTTCAGCCTTCATTCTGGTTCCAATCTCTGGCTTTATTCCCCAGGAAGCTGCCCTCTAAGCCGTGCCACCCTGCCTGATTGTATTGCTCTGTCTAGCCTGTTTTATTTTATTTATTTTTTAATGTACTGCTGGGAAGTCAGGAACCAAAAAAAGATGGGGTTGGTGGGTTTCTCAGCTGGGTGCCCTCAGGTTTACCCATCGGTGCCTGGGGTATGCACATCAGAGAAGTGGGGAGTTTCCCTCCTCGGATGAATCAACTGTGTGACCCAATCCTCATCCCTTCCAGGGCCCCTCCCAGCGGGTGGGAGCGGGGCACAGCTGCCCTGCCAGGAAAATCCCCAAAACGCTGCCAAAGCTCTGGCTGAAGCGTTCTCCCAACTCAGCTGTTTCCTGTCCTCACTGATTCGACCCAATACCCAGCTGGAGTCATGGGTCAGGCAGAGATTCTCCCCACTTCCCAGACAGCCTTTCTGGAGCCTCCTCCCTGGGGTCTGTGTGACCCAATCCTCATCCCTTCCAGGGCCCCTCCCAGCGGGTGGGAGCGGGGCACAGCTGTCCTGCCAGGAAAATCCCCAAAACCCTGCCAAAGCTCTGGCTGAAGCGTTCTCCCAACTCAGCTGTTTCCTGTCCTCACTGATTCGACCCAATACCCAGCTGGAGTCAGGGGTCAGGCAGAGATTCTCCCCACTTCCCAGACAGCCTTTCTGGAGCCTCCTCCCTGGGGTCTGGGGGTTCACAGTGTGTGGGAGTGGGAGGAGGAGGGGCCTCCTTTTCCTGGCCTCAGGGGCTTGTCCACATTTGCCCGGCCCACCCTGGGCCTGGCCACTTCACTACTCCCATGTAGGAAGGGGCAGGCCAAACAGCAGGACCTCGGCCACGCTGGGGGGTGGGCTGTGGGGAGCCCTTGGCTGGCAGTGGGGCAGCCCTCACTGTGGGCCTGGGGACCCTTCCTGCCCTGGGAGGCTTAGTTGCTGCATTCTCTGGGCCTCAGTTTCTTCATCAGTGAAAAGGGAATCTAGGAGCTGGCTGGATAGCTTACTTGGTTAGAGTGTAGTGTTGGTAACACCATTTTCAAGGATCCAGATCCCCATACCAGTCAGCTGCCAAAAAACAAACAGAAAAGGGAAACTCGACTTGGCTCAGCCACTCCCCTGGATGGTTCTGAGGACCCAAACTATGTGCTTTACAAATCAGATCCTAAGACCCTGCTGGGTCTCCTTTGTCTTTGCAGCCTCCACCGCAACAGCACTCTCACAAAGTAGGTGCTCAACAGTGCATCCAGCGCTCTGGAGCTGGACGACCTGGGTTTGAATCCTGACTCTGCCACCTACTAGCTGTAACCCCGGGCCAATTACTGCACTTCTCCCGGCCTCAGTTTCCTTTTCTGCAAAATAGCAATAACTATAGAGCCAGCCTTATAACACCAAGGTCATGGGTTTGGATCCTCAAACCAGCCAGTTGCAAAAAAATAGAGCCAGGTGAGGCTTAGATGAGATAGTGTAGGTAAACAGCACAGTGCCAACTCTTGTTATGAACAGAATGAGGAAACTGAGGCCTAGAGACAGAGTGACTTTCATCCATTCACCCGTTTATTAGAGAATGTTTATTTGGCAACTGCCCTATGCTGGATGCTGAGGACTCCCTGGAGGATAAAGTGTATCCACTGTCCTGAGGTGACCTGGACACACAGATGAGAGCCACAGGCAGGTGGGTGTTGTGGGAGCCTGGTGGATGTGTCTACAGCAGTTGGGGTGAGGATCTGGGAGGATAACACCTGAGTCGGTGGGGCTCAGACACGTGCAGTCAGCCAGGACAGCGAGCGAGGGCCAGGCATGCCAAGCAGGAGCTGTGGCATGAACAAAGGCACAGAAGTGAGAAAGGCCAGAACATGGGCAAGAAAACCACAGGCAGCTCATGATTCTGGAAGAAGGGTGGAGCAGGGAGCGGAGGATAGATGAAGCAAGAGGGACCGGCAGGGGCTGGATCTGAGTCGTTAATTACTTCATTCATTCATTTAATAATTTATGGAAAGGTTGCTCTGGCCAAGCACTGTGCTAGGCTCTGGGGACAGGGCTGAGATGGAGACACTGTTCTGTCTTCAAGGAACATATAGTCTCGGCATGTGGCTTAGGGGCTGGGGGAGATAGACATCAACCGGGTGATTACATAAGTAACCACACAATCCTGTGATCAGTGCTGCACAGCAGGTGTTAAAGCAGAAGGAACAGCCCAAGGCCCAGGGCTGCACGCCAGTGGGTGAAGGAAGTGCCAGTTGGCTTCAGTGGTGTTAGTATGGGCAGATAGGGTGCCAGAGGGAAGCTAGGGCAGTCGGTGGGGCCCAGGAGATGGACTCTGTCCTGTAGGCTGTGGGGAGCCACAGAATGGCCTTGGGCAGGAGAACATGGGCACCTCTGTAGGAGGGACCCATTGACCCCTGTGGGGGAAGAAGGAGAAAGTGTGTGTGTGGGGTGTGTATGTGTGGCTATGTGTGGCTAGGGTGGGGGGGGGAGGAAACTGAAGGCTGTTGTGATGGTTTGGGAGAGAGATGGTGAATGGGCTAAGGCAGGGCCATGGGGATGGGGAGGAGGGGATGAGTGTGTCACAGGCTGTTATTGAAGGAGGGCCAGGTGTTGCTGACACCACTTGGGCATCTTTGTGGGACCCACAAAGGTCCGGCCAGGACCCCTCAAGCCTTGACACCCTTCGGTCCAGTGCAAGGCACTGACGATTGGAGGGGGGACGGGCATCAGGTTCCAACGTGGAGATCACCTGGCTCTGGGGACTTCCCAAGGCTGGGCTGAAGGGGACTCAGCCCTGGGGAAGCTCAGGGTGGGGAGGAAGCTGGGGAGGGGGTTGAGCCAGCATCTCGTGACTCAGCCACTTCCACCCAGTCAGCCCAGTGGCATCTCCGCTCCCCTGCTCCAAATTCCAATTTGATGAGGCTGCTGGAGGCTGAGTCAGCTCCAGCACGGCACGAGAGCAGTGTCCCAAGGGGCTCCCTGCCAGACACCCTGGCCGCCAACCAAGGCACGGCCAGGCACGGGGTTGGGGAGGTGAAGGATGCAGGAACCAGGCTCCCAGAAGCTACAGCAGCCACAGCAGAGCAGGGCAGCCCAGCGAAATCATGTGAGTAAATGTGCTTTGTGGGTTGCAAAGAGCTAACTGTGGGTGAGGTTTTTCTCAGCAAGGTCAGGGACCACACTTGCCTGAGGAGACAGGGACCGGGATGCAAGTCCTAGCTCTGTCCAACTCACCACATGACCCTGAGAAAACTCCTTTCCCTTCTTAGCCTGAATTTCCTCGACCACAGAATGGGGCCACCGACTCCTTTAAAAAGATTGTGAGAATTAAATATGCATATAGAAGCGCTTTGCAAACTGTCCAGCGGCCCCTGTGATGGTCAGGGTGGTAGGAGAGATGAGTATAAGTGGCAGGTCTTCACGACACCACCTACGGTTGTGTAAGTTGTTCACTGCACAAGATGTCCAGCCTAGGGTGCTGAAATTCAGCCTATCCTCTGCTCACCAAACCTCATGCCCTGGCCTAAGACTGTCAGGACCAAGAGGGCACCTTTTTCTAACATGCACAGATGTACCCAGTTGGCTACTAGTGGCTCCTTCCTAGAAGGGCCAACCCCCAGATTTACGGGAAATCACTGAGAAACTGATTCTGGTTCCTGGGATGGAGGGGAAGTAGGCCTGGCTTTGCAGACGTTCTCAGAGAGGGAGTCCAGCTTCGGCAGTAGTATCTTCCTACTGGGCGCAGTCTGTCCAGGTCCTACCTCTCCAGCAACAAAAGCAGGTAACCACCAAGACAGTATTTAAAAAACACTCAAGACACAGACCCAAGCTGGGTTTTATTGAAATGCCAGGAGGAGGCACATGTCAAAGTAGCGCAGGAAGGGAGGAAGGTGGTGCAGGTTGTGAGGTGGCAGGAGTGGCAGGCCCCAAGTCCATGACTCTGGCATCCCCTCTCTCTGCCAGGAGATGTGTGGGCACAACTATGCCCCCACAAAATGCATGCTCAGGCCTACAGGGCCCCTGCCCCCTGGACTATTGAGGCTCCAAGGAGAGGAACTGGAAGCACTAATTTTCTCCCTTTAGGGAGGGAGGAAAGAAGGGGAGAATGCAGGAGATGGGGAGGTAGAGCTGGGGATGAGGGTGGCCAAGGAAGGCACTCCTTCTCCTCTTGGGTGTCTGTACCCGACCTGTGGTCCTGGGCAGTGGAGGGGAGCAGCACTGAAGAGGGAGCCGGAGGGCCCGGCCCTCAGCGAGCCAGAGCCCCCAGCCTGTGGGGGCTTGAGTCAGCCCTAAATAGAGGGCAAAAGTTCAAGGACATCAAAGACGCAGGCGGTTCCCAAGTGACCTAGTCCTCAGAGCTGGGGGACTTGCCTTCCTGGGACAAGGAGGAGAAAGACAGGAGGATCCATCCCCAGTAAGGGGGCGGGGGGGCACGAGCAGAGGATGATCTCTCCCACTTGGTCTCACTAGGTCAGTTCCACATTGTTGGCGCGGTCCAGCACACGGGAGCCACGGGCACTGCCCCCCAGCTGGAAACGGCTCTCATAGAGAGTGGGGCAGAGATGCCAGCGGTTGGCCCGGTAGATGCCCAGGTAGGTGTAGACATCAGGCTTGTAGGTAAGCAAGCACTTAATGCCTGCTGCACGGATGGCTGAATCTGCCTCCAGTACACCTAAGCGGTCCGTGAAGTCATCCGTGTAAACACAGATGACCTGGCGCCCACCCTCTTTGGCCCGGGGGCTCACCTTGGCCACCTGAAGCCGGCCCTCAACCACGGCCCTGGCAATGCCAGCCCAGGCGTGGTCCAGCTTGAAGCCAGGTGCCAGGTGCATTAGCCACTTGCCCGAGAGCACGTGGTGAGTGATGGCCAGTTGGCGCAGGGTACCTGGTGTGATGGGCCGCCCACTGGTCTGCAGAGCCTCCCAGGCTGCCTGCAGACCCTGCACGTCGCCCGAGTTGGGGATGTAACCCTGCCCATACGCTGCGATCCAGCCCACAGGCTCAGAGTTGGGTGAACCCGGGTCCCCATAGCGAGTAACTTGGGATGGTGGGTACTTGGCCAACCAGGAATCCAGCTCAGTGGCAGGCGTGGTGCGGGCATCAAACACCAGCCAAGGGTCCATGTCGGCTGCCATGGCCTCCGCAGCCAGATGCTCAGCAGTGAAGCCATCCTCACGGCCGCCTGGAGAGTCCTCCTCCTCCAGCTCCTCACCTGGCTCCATCCTGCTGTGAGGAAACTGAGTCAAGGCAGGTCTGAGACAATAACTACGGCTTGTTGCACTGAACTAAACTGTGTGGCCCCGGGCAAGGCTTAATGTCGCTGTGCCTCAGTTGCCTCATCTTTACAATGGGATAACAACTGCTCCTGTCCCATAGATCCGTTGTGGGAATTAAAATGCCTGAAATGAATAAGCGCTGTTGCTATTGTTATTACCGCTCTTCTTGTCTTAGCACACAGGGAAACTGAAGCTCAGAGAAAAGGGACTTGCCCAAGGTCACACCTGTAGTGAGTGGCAGAGGCGAAATTTGAATTCAGGTGTGAGAGCAACCGGCCCCAGCTACATCCCCTGGCCCTGCCAAAGCGCCCTTCACCTGGCCAGAAAGACTAGCAAGATTTAATGGAGCGCGGCAAAGAATCGCACGTTCATGCAACCCCCAAGGAAGGCCCCGTAGGGCCAGGGCCAGGCCTCCAGGGCCCGCGTCATCTAGCCCACCTTAAAGACGAGGACACTTAAACCCACAAAGGGTAGTGACGGGCCCGGGGCCAAGGGGGCGGTGGCCGGACTCGAACCCGGGCTTGTTCGAGCCTGCAGGAGGTCCAGGCTTCGGCCCTGCCGCGCCCGCCGCCATTAGCGCCCACGACCCGAGCTGTGCCCCCACCTGGCCCTGCCCTGCCCCTCCCGCCGGCCTGCATCACCTCCGGCC